AATCTACGGTATGTTTTGTCAATTCGCATCCCGAACAAGAGAAAAATCTGATAATAAAACCCTCTTATTTCTAATTTCTAGCTTCTTTTAACTTAGAATAGATAGTCGTGATAACCGAAACTTATTAGTATTTGTTATTTTCAGACATAAGAAACTATTTTTTAAATATGTACATATGAAATGGTTATATTATAAGCTATTTTCTTTTGAACCCTGGTTCAAAAAATGATTTAAAGTGTCCTGGCTCTATTTAATCATTTTCTTTTAATTGTGCAAAATGAAATTTATGAGAATTTGATAAAATCTGTGTAAATACTTCTAAAACCGGAAAACATTAATTATTCTCGAATCGCACTGCATTTGAAGCGTAAAAAATATCACTTTTTAACCAGCTTAGAAAACATAGTTATGTTTTTGTTAATGGGCATACTGTGAAAGTTGAAATACTATGACAGATACACGAACCACATAACATGAACGCTCTCCGTTTAAGTAAAACAATTTTGTAACAAAATTCTAAATTTATAAATAAATATATTTAAGTCGTATTTTCCTAATTTCTCATCATTTAAACATTGGAAACTTTAAAAACTGAATTTAAAAATAAATACCACATACGTCTATTAAAACTTCCTTAATTCGTTATCAGATTGGCTCTTAATAATATCTTTAAAAGGCTTTTTAATATATTCACATTAGCTACACGAAAATGTCTGAGAAGAAAAATTTAATTATTTATCGATAATTGTTTCTATCTTAAGTGGTTTTTATCTTGAACTTGTTCTTCCTGTATCAGATAAATGCTATTTGCCAATTAAATATTTTTCAAAGTGGAAGCGTAATAAAATTAAATTCTTGGAAAAAAACTAACTGGATTTTTATCAAACAGATTGTTATGTTTATTTCAGCTCTGAGTTATCTGTTTTGAAAGATCAAATTCTCCCTCCTCGTTAGTTAAATTTATAGAGATTCATTTATTTTAAATTAATAAAACACAAATATATATATATATATATTTTTGAAAATAACATTTTCCTGATGAGGAGAACATTGAAACTATTGTGTGATGCATTATTTGTCCCCTTTTCTTTGTTTATAAACTTCAAATAATCTATTTGATTGATTATATTTTCATTAGTTCAGTGAAAAACATGTTTTTTTCCCTTTAATCTCCCTATCTTACTCGGTATGTTTGGATTGATAGAAGATGCCACTTATCTTTGTTTAAAAAGTAACAAGGGAATCGATAACAAGTCCCCGAGATCCGTTATTTCGGAACCGTTACTTTATAATAGTTTTTAATGAACTTGAATCATATTTCAGTACGAACACTATTACGATACACATCTTTAACCTAAAGTGTATTACTGAAACATAAAATACGCGTTTTGGTCTTTAAGCAGATGAACGAAAAATCCTTCTTTGTTTGCATACTTTAATTTGTGATTTCAAAAGTGAAATTTTTGAAAAATGTTACTTTTATTTTTAATCACTTTTTCAGGATTTTTTAGCACTCAAGTCTCGGCCTCAGGTAAGTTGTTTGTAATAATTACTAAAATAAATCTTTTCAAAATTATTTTACTGAAAAGATTTTATTATAATTTTTAAATTCTTGTATCCTACACAATTTTTTTTTTTTTTTTTTGTTGANTTTTTTTTTGTGTGGATAATGTGATAAACACTTAAGAAACATAAACTTTGTTGATAAACATCAAAAACAAATTATTGCTGGTACTTTAAATATTATAGAAAACTAGTAGTAGTAGATAGTAGTTTTTGTTTAAAGATATCAAATAAATTCTTTTTACCTTTAGGTATGTTAACAGAATGGAAATTTACTACTACTTTATTTTATTACTACTTTAAAAACTTTGTTTTCAATAATAAGAAAAATTTAAATAACAGTAACAATTCAACAATTTTTTCTAAATTTGTTCAATAAATTAAGAAACTACAAAAAAATTTTTTAATTACCCCATAGACAAAGCTAACAATAACTATGCAATCTTCTGTAAAAAAATGAACTTTTAAATACGGAGTTAAAAAATAGTAACAATTTTAAGTTTAGTAATTTAAATAATAATATTGTCATTAAAATAATTTTAGCCTCATATAAGTGGCTATGAATTAAAATTAGCACTATACAATTCTATTGCGATTTTTGATTTCTAGGATCTTTTCAATAGCATTCCCCTTTATAAACTAAAACATGTCTTTTTGAATTATTACTAAGATTTTAATCATATCCTTAATTGTGATTTTGATTATTGGGAAATTCTGATTAATTTTTGCATTTTTAATAATTATCTTTACAATGGAAAAGATATTTTTCTTCAAATTGATGAAATACCACAATGACCTAATTTTCATCTTTTTCAGCTAACTTATTTTTGCACTACTATGAAAAAATTATGCTCTTAATATTAAATTTGTTTTCAGATTTATTGATGATTTAATTATCTTTAATTTTCAAGATTATACAATTTTATTAAGTAATATTTACCCCGAGGAGTTAATCTTGCTTCGTAATCATGATAAAAATATTACTTTGCATTATTAATGATGATAATATTACCATGATGATAATTTACATTTTTGGATTTGGGTATCATAAAAGAATAAAATATCTGCTCTGTTAATTTATACGATAAAAGGAATGATTTTAATTTTAATATCAATAAGCTAATTACTTGGAATTTTAATGTTTCTAAGAACATTGATTTAAATACCATTTTAATCAAATAAATATAATTAAAAGAATATGTACTAATGTTTATTTTTACAAAAGCAAATCAACAAACTCTTTCAAAATTTGAATAAAAACAAAGGATACCCAACTAACGTAATTAAATTCTATGTAAAATCATTGAGTTAATTGCATGTTATTGTAAATAAGTTTAATAAAAAACTTCTTTATTAATTTATATAATTTTTACCATGTGCAAATCCGTGGCCAAAATTTAAGTGCAAAACAGGCAATTAATGTTTCTTTCCTCTCTTTTTTTATTTTCTTAAACAAAAGTTAATTTTCTAAAATCATTAAAATTGTATAATTAAATATCAACCTTATTAATTGTCAACTTCTTTAAATTATCCAGTATATTATTACCTTGCGCACATCCCTTTTCGGCCCCATCCTTGGTAACTTACAAATCAAAAGCGATTCAGTACTGCTGTAAGAACGCACTATAAAACAAAGTCCCGCTATTTATGCTTTTACCTTCTGTTTTCATATTTTGTAATCTGGCAATTTTATTACGAAAATATTTGAAATCTCCAAGTTCCATTCTCTCTAACTGCACCAAAAAAAATTTTCTTATTATTTAAAGTGATCAGTTTCACTTCATCTGCTTTGTTAATTGCCCATCATTCACTGCCATAAAAAACTATTGGTCTCACTAGTTTCTTGTACAACTATATTTTTGTTTCACAACTTAAGTATTTAGATTAGAGCTGGTTTCTCAATCCATGATAACATCTGTAAGCCATGTTGATTCAATTTTTAATTTTAATGTCATTAGTATTATTTATTGTGTAAGGTATCTATGCTTTATTCTCTGTTCTTCTCAAGTATTTGTTTGAAGCTGTGTATTTGATCTGTCGTTGATCTGCTTTTTTGAAATCTACACTGGTATTTGCCAAATACTCTGCTGGTATAGGTACCCAATCTTCCTGCCAGGCTGTTTGTCTGTATCTCGTATGATGCGTTCAAGAGAGTAATAGTTCTTACAGTCCAGCCTGCCTCCTTTTTTATTGGATCCATGTAACTATCTTCTCATTTAATGGGCATTTTTTCCACTGTCCGTACACGGATTATAATAGCGTGTATTTCTTTGATGAGTTTAGGCTCCTTTATGTTCAGGAACTTTGCATTGGTGCCATCTGGTCCTTTCAAACTGTTGTTAAAGTTCTTTATCACTCTAAACTTCACCCAAGGAAGGTTGCCTAGTTCCGCGTCTTGTGGGTGTTCTTATTATATCTTCCTCTCTTCCCTCTAAGTATCTTTTCTATCAAGAGTTCTTTTAAATTGTTCTCCTAAGTATTATCATTAATAAATTCATCGTTTTCATCACGACTTGTGTCAGTTCTGGGGGAGAACTCTTTTTTAGCCTTGTTTACTACCTTGTAAAACTTTTTTGCTTTCTTTTGCCGTTTATGGTGTTCTATTTCCTTATATATTTCCTCCCGTTACTTTCTTTTCTTTCGTTTCAACATTCTTTTTTCGCGTCTTCTCTTTTTATTCTTCCTTTGCATTTCTGGTGTAATGTTTCGGTATCTTCAGCTGTTGTATGTTCGATTTTTTCTTTCATTAATTATTTCACATTCCACGACAAACCAGTCCTTTGATTTCGTTTTTATTATGAGTAGCAGAGTTTCCTTAGCTAATTCTATTACGTTTGGATGATTTTTAAACATTCTACCATATACTAAGGTTTTCTCAAAATTTTGTTTTTATATGTAAACTAGGAGGCCAACTGCACCATTTTCTGAAAACTGCTTCATCCAAAATCATTACAGACAGAGGATGATCAAAATAATGGAAACACTTTTCTATACTAACTCTATGTTAAGCATTTTTTTCTTTTAGCAGCAAATGTTTTCTCATCTGGAAAAACTGCTGGCACTATTTGAAAGATCAAGTTTGAGGATTTTAGAAATGGTGTCTTTTTACCCATGTGAGCTTTGCTTCGACCAATATGAGAGTTATGAAGTTAAGAACTTATTTCCTCGATCTAATATAGAAATTGCAACCCATATGAAACTGTTTCCGAAATTGCCGGTAAAGCCACAAAGAAGTTATTTACTTCCTCTTCCTCATTTTGCTCAATCTGAACTTTACGTGGGTAAAGAAACACAATTACTAAAAGTTTCAAACATGATCTTTCATAGATTTTTTTAATTATTTTGATAAACCCTTGAGTTAAAACATTAAATTTTACAATCACCAGGACACTCGCATCTTTATGTAAGCCTGAAAAATTATTATTATTATTTTATTTTGGATTTTACTTTAAAATATTTCGTAAAACAGGTGCAAAAATATTACAAGTTTAATTCAAAACTATTGCTTTTCAAACGGTTCCATTGCAATACTAAAGCCTTGATATTTTAAAAATTGTTCAGTCAAAAATTGTTGTTAAGTCTGCCTAAACCTCATTCATGCAGGATCTATATTAAGTTAATATGTTATGATTAAATATTCTCTCATGAAATATTGAATTGGGAATACTTTTTGTTAAATAAAAAGCTGTATAAAAATTGTTTTATTTTTTATAACATTAAATTACGAAATTGCTCAAAACTTTTTATTATACTTTCTAAACTTTATTTCACAGTTTTGGTCTTCCAAAAAACTTTAGGTTACCTGAACTTTTAAATTCGCAATCGCAACGTTTGAATACGCCCTCTAGCGGGAGCCTGAAAATATCAGGCATTTATTTATTATGTTTTCACTCAGTTCCATCAGAATCATTGGCAGAGTCAGACGCCAATTTAAGCAGCAAATAAGAAGCAAAATTTCCCTAAGGAAAAAGCCGAAGAACTTGAAAAAACTCTCCACAACATTAGTAAATCTTTCAGAAACAGAATGCCAAGCATTTTGAAGAAAAATTCCTCAGTAATTTCTAACTTCTATTATCAACAAACTTGCAACTGTTAACTTCCGATTTCGGAATCGCATACTGTTACAGATGTGTGTATTACGGTAAAATACATTTTTGCTGTCTTCAGTTCATTACAAATTAAAGTGAAATCAACATTGCTTTCTTCATTCCAATGAATAAATGTGAATTCAGAACGTACAGAACTGCAATAGTTATAGAATATTCTTCTTCTTTATAGAATAGTACATATTTCTGTATCTATATAATTCGGAAAACAACAACAAGGAATCATCCGAATTTCTTGAAATAGTATCATTTGTGCTGATTATTAATAAATTTGTATCGTTTTCTTGGCAAGTATTTTTTAGTTTAGAAAGAATAATTTCAACTTGAATTCAGCTATTCTGTTTTCAAGTTACATAATGAAATTCAGATCGAGATTATACAATTATAAAATTTTTGCTGTGTGGTATGTTATCTAATCCAGGATAATTTGATGATAATTTTCTATAGAATGGTTTTCTAAGTCCGATTATGAATTTTTAAAAAAAACAAAACATGAATGTTTCTTATTTTAATGTGAGGAATTTTTAGAATTGTTTTTTTTCGTAAACATTTTCTATTTTGCGTTTTTAGTTTCTAAGTAATGATTTTTATTGAAGCTTAAATTTTTTGATAAAAATTGTTGTCAAAAAACTTTTTTTACAAAAATAAGTTATATAAAATTATGAAGCTTATGTATACTTTTTGCTTACTTTAATGTTTGAAGTAATATGATTCTTGAAACTATAGAATGTAAAGTTTAAATAGGCCTTTCTTGTTATATCATTAAATTTAGTAAAACTATTTCTCAGGCATTAGGTTTTAACTCTTATAAGAAGATACATATTGTTTTCTGTTTATTTACAAATATTTTTCCGATGTGTTTTGGATGTTCCTTCTCTAAAAAAAAAGAGATACCATTTTGTTTTCGTTTGCATTAGAGAGAATATCGACATTTCTCTTTTTTTAAATTTAATAAGCCACAATAAAGATGGAACGTTACAATGCTGCACGCTACATTACTCTGGAATTAAAGACGCTTCCAGAGTAACCGAATGACTGTTCATACAGAAATGGCAGGTATTCGTCTCATACAACAACGCCCCCTACAGTTCGTTGCGATACCGAATTATGCATTAGTGTTTGCGATAGCGATATGCATTAGTGTTTCATATAATACAGATTTTCGAATTATATGCTAAAGCTTAAATTTTGCACTTGTTGAATAATAATTTTTATGTAATGGCAGGTTATGCAGCCTATTGCGACCAAGTATCGAGATTTAATGGTACAATTGAAGATAGACATGTTTCGTCAAGAGGATATAATTCAGATTCTAGTAGCATACATTATCGCTGTTGGAAGATTTCCGTACCGGATGATCATTTCATTCGTATAAAATTTCAGACTATAAATTTTGAAAATGAGGTAAAATTTTTAACTTTGTTTATGTGTTTGTATTTATATTATATACAGGGTGTCTCAGTTAAGCGTTTCAGAACTTCTAAGAGGGGTAGGGGGCATCCTGACGACTCGAAATCATATAGCAATGTGGGGTCGGAAATGCTTTCCTGAAGCGGTGACGTACACAGAAGCACCATAAAGAAAAGAGACCGTAAGAGAAAAATCGTTTTAATAATACATTGAAAAAAGCATAAGGCACATGGGCCAAAGTAAGTGTTCGAAGTTTCTGCCACCGACTACAATGTACACCTCACATCTCCGGCGCATGGACAATCGAACATTCTGCAATACTCCAGGCATATCTCGAAGGCAGCTACTGCGATTCTTGCAACCAGCATTATCAACAGGGGAGTCATAAACCAGTGTTTTCATATGACTCCAGAAATCAAGACATGATTGGTCGGGTGACCGAGGAGGCCATATAATTTTTTCTATGTATTATTATAGCGATTTTTCACTTACGGCCTCTTTTCTTTATGGTGTTTATGTGTACGTCACCGCTTCAGGAAAGCATTTCCGACCTTGCGTTGCTATATGATTTCGAGTCGTCAGGATGCCCCCTACCCCTCTTAGAAATTCTGAAACGCTTAACTGAGACACCCTGTATGTATTTTGTATGACAAATCATATTATTTATTATTCTTACATATTTTAATTAAATGTATCTATTTATTTTTTACTCACTGTTGAACTCAAATTGATGCATCGTACAGGGGAAAAGATTTTCTTTTAACACATTTTGGATTTTTTTCCAGTATTTCATCTGGTTTTTCATCATATATTTCAGCAATTGGAAAATAACTAGAGAAGTTTTAGTGCCCATATTTAACAATAAGTTTCCATATTTTTAGGCAATGCTTTACGATTCGTATGAATACTTTATTTAATAACCCTTTGCATACTGTGCACCGTATTCTACCGTCACGGCTGGTCCACAAGTAGCACCAGTCGTGAGGAACAGGTTAAAAACAACAAAAAGCTTTCGAAATATTCAAATGGAGGATCATATAAAAGAACAAAAATTGTTTATGAACGAGAATAAAAGACCATTTCATGTGCTAAGATTAAAAAAAAAAAATAGAGAAGAAAAGAATATCAATCAGAAATATACCTACGTTATTTTTTAAGAATGTTTTTTCCTCGCTAAAATTTAATTTTTTTACTTTGATTGACTCAACCTATATCTGATATCCTAAGTCACAGCATCATCCTCTTAAAATGTTGGTCCCCATACCCTTAGATGAGTAATAGGGTGCAGAGGCCTTTATGACTTCTCTAACATGGCCCCTTTCCGTTATACAAATAGTCTTCAAAATTGGCGGGAAATATAAAATATTAGTATTAAAAACATCTCCCTACTACCTTCGTTTTTTTTTTAAAAAAAAGTAAACTATTCGTGACTACAACTACTTATTAAGAGTTGAAATCAGCGAATACAATCCCGTACTGTTTTTGGTTCTGTGGGATATTGGGATTGAGATCTGCTAATCCAGAGGATTGACAAGTTTAATGATAGCATTCCATTTAAACTTCCAATTAGTTTAAAAAGTTACAACTGACAATAGAGGGAAGTAAGTACAGGGTGAGCCAGTCAAACCTGCATTTTTGAAAAGGGCGGGAGAGCAGTGAAAGTGGGCCAGAGCGAGTTACGCAGGTTACCATTGCGTCCCCCACAACTAAGCATTTCATTCGCCATGGAGCAGTGGTCTAAACAAAAACGTTCGTTCGCTGTGAAAGCGTTTTACCAAAGTGGTAGTTGTGCAGCCGCTCAGCGTCGTTTCCGGACGAATTTTCAAATTAGTCGAAATAGGCCAGTGCCGTCTGTTAATTCAATCAAATTGTGGGTGAAAAACTTTGAAGCAATTGGTGATCGAGAGAATTCCTCAGCGTATGCTCCGTGAAGGGAAGGGCAGTTTCAGAAATCGCCTACAAGAATGTCTCGATCGGGAAGGACACCATCTTACTGGCGTTATTTTTAAACAGTGAATGTTGTTTCTTAAATGCTTTTTAATGCAGATTAAGATAGTAACAATAAAATTTTGAAATATACATCCGTTTATTTTTCACAGTCATTTCAAGAATGCAGGTTTGACTGGCTTACCCTGTATATAAGAGAACAAAAAACTCCTAAATAACGTGGCATTTAAACTTTTGTAAAGAAAATGTCGAGAGAATTATGAAAATCATGATCTTACCTTTTTAGTGTTAAAAAAAAAGAATCCAAAATACATAACGAATCCCACGAGCCGACTCCTATTCTGGATAGAATTTTATTGGCGAGTAAATTCCATTGTTGTTGGTTTTATAGATAATAAATAATCATACTCAACTTTAAGTAATCCATATTCTTCTAAAGGACTTTTTTGTTGATTATAGCGTCAATTTCTTTTCCCTCATAATTTTTCCTTATACGGGAACATGTATTTTTTTTTCTAACTGTAGTCCGTCTATTAATTCCGTCCGATAATTTTTCTGGTCCATCTTCTCCTTTTTCAATAACTTGTTTTAATTTCTACCCTTATCTTCTAACACTTTGACGAAATCTTACATAATCCTATAACAATTATTTAAGAAATAATTCGGGCTTTAAAATAACTATTTAAATGTTTTATAAAAGTGTCAGTGAATGCTTTGAAAAACAGTCAACAATACCTTTAGTTAGTTAAATAATTTTTACACATAAAGACTTGTTGAGAATGCTCCCGAGAAGCAAATCTAGCTAAGAAAAGTAAATTCAAGTTTAAAAATGTCGAATAAATTTCAACATGTAAAAACAAATATGGTTATCGATAGTGCATTTCATGAAAAAAACTAGTGAATAGCTTTAAAAAACTAAATATTTTATTTTAGTTTCAAAATATGGCGATACTGAACATAATATGCATTACTGATACTGATATGTTGATATAAACTGATATTTTAAAACTTTACAGGATTGCGACAATACATATTTAGAAATTACCATGAAAAACACAGATGAAGGATATTATTTTTGCAGAATGTATGAAGTATTTACACGTACAACTGTTCTGTATGCATTTACACCTATAACTGCTCTTTCAGATGTACACATAAGATTTACTGCTTATTATACAGCAAATTTTGAGCTAGACTATGAAATTAGTAGGTTGCAATCTTTTGTTATTAATTTATATTTCACGATATATTAAGATAGTCTTTAAAGTAAGGCGTGATCAATCCTATATTTTAGTTGCCCGCCGTTTTATCTAATTCAGTATAATCTATATTATATAAAACGCTAATACGTACGTATGTATCAATAAAACCGATAATATTTCTTTTCTCGCGCTGGCAACAGTTTTCATTTTTAATTGATTGGATTCGGCGCGCAAGAGCACATAGTGAGCACCATATGGCTAATCTATATTATATAAAACGCTAATGCGTTTTAATTGATAGGCTTCGGCGCGCAAGAGCACGTTGTGAGCATCATATATGTCTAAACGGGTGAATTCTCACCGAATTATCAAAAAAATTCTCACAAAATTATCCTCATCGAATCCGATGCTTTACATCCGGCGTTCAGTACTATTTCATATTGTTTTCCAACACGTGGCTTTAGCCCTCTGGTGGGAAAGACTTTAAAACAAAACTTACAACAGTTACTTTTCTCAACAACTGAAATTTAGAATAGTGTGATTAAGAAAAATATGTGAACTGTTTGCAGTTTCAAATTAATATTGAAATGCACAGGTTTAGAATTTTCTACAGTGAAAAGTTTTCGGAACTTCAGTGTTCAAGAAAGTATACAAAAGCTAGACGTTAAGAACGTATCCAATGAGCGAGCAAAGCGAGTATCGGATTGTGAAGCAATCCGAAATGAACTGCGAAGACAGTTCCGGGGGTTGGCGAGCGCTAGCGAGCAGGGGGCGAAGCCTCCTAGTAATACATAAAATACTAAAATAAATAGAGTGGGAAACAAAATTTTTCAATCGATACTTGAAAGCAGGGCTCGAAAAACCGCACGTCCTCGGCGGTCAAAAATTCCCCGCAGATAACAAATTTCTGGAATCCGACGTCCGCGCGGACGGCCATTTTCCTGTTAATGTTCATGATACATTTTCAAGTTTTGTTATCTTACAAGAGTCTACCGCCTCACTTCTAAAATGACCCTTTAATCTAGAAATACAGTAACATACTGCACATGGTGGAATTGATGTTTTCTCTGCCTGGGAGTACTGCAGAGGTTGAAATGAACTTTCAAAAAAACACATTACGTACTGGTCTTAAACAAGGAGCGTTAAACGCAATTATGAACATCTACCTAAATGGAAAACCCCTTTTAGATTTCTGTGCAGAAACCTCTGTGAATCATTGGCTTGATTATGGAACTGGTCATATTTGATTCATTTAAAAAACGCAGTACCCTCGGATAAACTGACACTTCAGATAACTTGACCTTTGTCATTTAAATTATTTCACTTGGGTGACCGCTTGGATTAGTCTGCGTAGGGATCGAGGGTGTGCGGTATTGGACCTCGTTAAGCTGTTCTACCGTAAAGTGCTCGACTTCACGTTCAAGTTGTCGGGCTACCGAAGCGGGGGTGCCATCCGCTCTGCAGAGGATCGAAATTGTGATGGCATGTCTTCGGATCATTCTCGGGGATGTTCCCCAGACTGTTGCCAATGGCCCATTGTGCAGCTCTAGTGCGACGTGAATGAACTACAACTACAACGACTGCAATAGATTTAAAGCAACACGAGTGACAGAAAGCATTATTTTATTACAGGGTTGCCAGCTTTTTACCCTTTTTGTAAAAATTTCTTCTAATGGTAGTTGTCCCGCAGTAGACTGATCGTTAAGACACGGTTTCTAACAGATTACCGAAGTCAAGCATCACTGGCTGCGACGTAAATGAAAGACAACAACTACAACAAACCAAATGGTAGTTAAGTTTATGTTTCAATGTATTATTTTTTTATTCGTTTAAACATATTCTCCACACCACTACTACAAATAAATTATTTAAAATATGCAACGCCATTTTGTTCCAACTCTTTCGTAAACGTGGGGATAGCGGGTTCGAATCCCGTTGCTACCTTAGATGCATATTCGAGCTATCCTTCTCTGTATTGTGCTGTCCCGCAGTGGACTGATCGTTAAGACACGGTTCCCAGCAGATCACCGAAGTAAAGCATCACTGGTTACGGTCAGTGTGCGGGTGGGTGACCACTTGGGACCAAGGGTGTGCGTAGGGACCAAGGGTGTGCAGTATTGGTCCTCGTTAAACTGTGCTACCGTAAAGTGCTCGACTTCGCGCGCAGGTCGTCGGGCTACCGAAGCGGGGGTGCCATCCCCTCCGCAGAGGATCAAAATTGTGATGGCATGTCTTCGGATCATCCTCCGGGATGTTTCCCAGACCGTCGCCAATAGCCCATTGTGCAGCTCTAGTGCGACGTAAATTAACAACAACAACTGTATTGTGCTATCTGTCCTTCTATTCGACAAAGGATTACAAGCCTAAATTGAGCACACATGCCTGCAAATGTATGTAATTCCAATAAATCCAACTCTTTCGTGCTGAGTTTTAAAAGTGTTGGCAAAATTATCAAAAATTCTGAAAGATTTGGTAATTATATGTTCACCATTTTTTAAAAAATATTTTGCAGAAAAGCGTAGTAGTTGGCAAGCCTACTATGTCATTTAATGCTTTGGTTTCGTTTTGCTATTCTCAAAACGTGCTGGCATATATAATTAACATGGATAATATAAATGAATTAGAAATATTTCAATAGATACAGTAATGTTGATAAAAGTGCAAAATGCTGCAACAGACTAATCATAAATAAACAGAGAAAACATTCTTTAAATGGATAAGGGGAGAGGTGGGTGCTAATGCGTTTCAAGATCCCTTAAATTTTGCTTTCTCTTTTATTTACAGATCCCGTACTAACTCTTGGGAAATCGGTTTACATTATGTCTAGGGAAGTTAGCCTTTCCCCCCTATGCATATTCCTTAGTGCAGCGGTGGGAAAATATGGAACACCAAAATACAGTATGATATACAACAAATTTTCGGTGGCCCGAATAGTTTCTTGAATTCTTTGCTGTTGCCCTCATTCGGAAAGTGTGGAAATGAGAAAATATATCATGGAATACGCATCGGATTGAGAATTTCAAAATACTTGCTAGTATTTCAAACAACAGGGAAGGATGTGGAATTGAGTTTATGAAAAGTCTAACACGTGTGGAAGTATTGCACGCGTGTTAGACTTTTGGTCTAAAGCGTATTTAGGTATTCAACTGTTTCTATACTTTTCGGACACTCAGTATAGCAATTCATCAGGAAATGTTTATTGAAAAAAATCCCTTCACTGCGACATTGATTCAATAATCCATATAAAGTAATTTTAGATCAACACAGTTTTTTTCTTGGTATAATGGAAGCACTGATAGGCAAGTATATTATTGTTTAAATTGCTGATGTCGTGATGTCTAAATAGCTTCTGTCTAAATAGCTGTTGTTTGTTATTCAAATTTGCATGCCGTGACTGTCTATAATTTTGTTACAGAACACGTTGAATGTTCTCGTTCAGACAGTTTCCACTGCACATCTTATTCCTGCATTCCGAAGTCACGTGTTTGTGATGAAGTACTGGATTGTTTGAATGGCGCAGATGAAGCTGGCTGCGGTAATCGGAATTACATATTTAATTTTGTATACGTTATTTGAAATTGGATATACGATAATCTACGTCCCAGACTTTTTTATTCCCACTAAATTGTCCCAGGAAACGGAAATATTTGTGAGTTTGACACGTTGCTGTAACAACAAATTAACATTGAATACAGTATTTTACACTGCTAGACGATCGCTAGGAACTGACTACAAATGGCTGCATTGCTCAGAAACAATTAAATATGGTTAAATTCCGAGTGAAATAAAAGAATTCCTGAATGTTAGGACATTTAAAAGAGATAATTTATTGTTCTCTGAAACCCAGATGGTTTGAAACGTGTTCAAAGAACAAAATAATCATTTTGTGCAAAAAATGTAAAAATCAAAAAATTGCAAATACCATTTGTAGATATTCTGGAATAAGATATCAATAGAGGGTATGACCACCATGAAGAGCAATTTCATGTCGTGGCATTCTTAGTACAATAGTATTTGGCAGCTATTTGGGGTGATTTGTTCCACTCCTCTGTTGGTTTCAACTGAACAACTGAAAGGGTGTCCTTGCTTATTTCAGGGCATTCTCGTCCAGCAACACTCCTCCCCAAATCAACCCACACTAAAGATATGCTGACCATAAGATGCGTTGAATATCCTTGATCTGAACATACTCCTCGACAGCAGCTGTTCAATGACATGTTGTTCATAAAAACAAGCTTATACGGATAGCAGCACAGAACAAGTGAACACAAGGCAGCAGAATATCATTATTGTAGCGTTGGCCAATCAAGCCCTCAGACTGACATACGATCGTTAATCGTAATATCAGTACATACCTTGTCCCAACATTTATGTCCCTTTCCTGTATATTTATTTGACTATGCGCAGTGAAATTTTTGCGACTGATCGCTTGGAGTTGACAATCAGACGAGTAACTGAATCTACTCTCATCTGAGAATAGTGCATAAGCCCACATCCTCTTCGCTCCAATTAATGCTAAATACATCATTTCAAACGGGAGCAAGACGGTGACGTCTGGACAAAGGTATGCATTCAATATAATTCTCCTGCTTGCAAGCGTCTGACAGTTTTTTTGCAAGATTCGCTTCCCAGTAGCAGCCTGAAACTGATTTGCTGTTTGTCTGACTGTACTACACCGTTTCTCTTTGTCGATAATATTAAGTTCTTGTCTGGCGTCGTACATGGAACACAACCTCCCTCTAGACCAGGGGTGTCAAACTCAAAAACTAACTTGTGCCAAGTAAACAGAGCTTAACTTTAGGTGAGCCGCAAAAAAAAATAATCAATGTTCATAGAAACAAATATTTTTATTTTTAATCATACATTGTAATAAACATATATAAAGTTAAATTATTGTTTGATACTTGACATCTCTTCTCTGCTACTATCTCTCCTATGTCGGGAGAAATTTTATTGGCCGAGACTACTTTCAAAATCGACCCAACGTGAGCGTTACTAATACGGTTTCGGACAGGAGATTTACTTCCATTCATAACGGAAAATAATTGCTCACACTGTTTAGTACTTCCAAACATGGAAATAATTTCATATGCGAATTTTCGAGTATTTTCAAACCTTGCCTGTAAATATTTGTAAAATTTAGGCACATCCACTTCAATGAATTTTTGCCTTCAAATTTGAGTCGCACTGAATCTCAATCACTTCCATTTGCATATAACTGGGTACTGAGTCTATATTTATTGAGAAAATCGAAGAAAACAAACAAAATTTGACTTCCGAAGAATTAAAATCTTTAAACCTTGTTTCAAATTCTGTTCTAAGATTTAAAATTTTTTCTGCGTATTTTTGATACGATGCAGTATCCCTGGAAGGGCAGGTGCCGCAAGCCAATTAGAATGTTACATTTTCGCGTGTGCAATTTAAAATTATCTGAATAGTTTATAAATAAAGTATGTTATAATTTTATATGCTAGTTTCCTTTCTAATTCACATTTTTATTTTATTTTTACTTTGCGTCCGATATATTGACTGGGCCGCAAAAATGTTCATCTCGGGCAGCATGCGGCCCGCGAGTTTGACACCCCAGCTCTAGACGTTTGTTGTTTGAAAGTTGTTTTTCAGTTGTTTGAAATGATTTCCAAAGCCTTTGGCAAAGTCTATTATATTTCGGCCTTCTTCAATCTTACCGATAATACGACCACGTGTAAAAGCATTTAAATTACGTGGGAAAACATATAAAAAATTGCAAGTTCATCACTTTATTGCTTTCCTTCAAATCTTAATTTTGAACAACTCTCAACACGCGTAAAATCCTTTATATCTCTTATCAGCGTTCTCCAATCATATCCAGTTATCAGCGTTTATGTGTCAAACCAATTGGACAGCCCAAAATTTGCATACGCAAAACACATCTTACTGTAACGCGCACTAGGTGCTATTTTCTACATTTTCCTACTTTCAATTCTGAGGTTGTCATCGTTGCTGTTAACATTCGTCTTTGGCAATTGTCCAGCAGTATATTAGGCAGTAAATGTTATTCCCAATAAAAATTTCCAAGTGGACGTAGTGTTTCTTTCGTCGTATAACCAATTACTTACAATTATTAAAATTTTCGGTGATGTATTTAATGTATTCGAAACATTAATGAGAGATTTATTCACAATAAAACCGTAAACAAACTTTCGATGCCTTTGTCAAGGATTCCATAAATATTATGTTTTTTATTACATTTTTCTATTAAAATTAAACTAGAACTGTTAGAAACTGTAGTGTTTCTGAAACTTGTGTAATTTCAAAAGTGGCAGCAAGTAATTTCAAAGTTACCCTGAAGAAAAAGAAGAATTTGGAACTAATTGTGAGTATGATAATTCCAGGGTCTAATTTCGTTCGTGAATTCGTATTTCCTTAATCCATGCTACGTAGGTCCCGCAGTGGACAATCGTTAAGATACGGTTCCCAGCAGATCACCGAAGTCAAGCATCACTGGCTGCTGTCAGTGTGTGGGTGGATGACCACTTGGATCAGTCTGCGTAGGGACCGAGGGCGTGCAGTATTGGTCCTCGTTAGGCTGTTATACCGTAAAGTGCTCGACTTCGCGTGCAGGTCGTTGAGCTACCGAAGCGGGGGTGTCATCCCCTCTGCAGAGGATCAAAATTGTGATGGCATGTCTTCGGATCATCCTCAGGGATGTTTCCCAGACCGTCGCCAACAGCCCATTGTGCAGTTCTAGTGCGACGTAAATAAACTACTACTACTACCATGCTACGTAGATGAATTAATCTTCATTCGGAGTTAAATGAGTCAAATTATTAAAATAAGGCTTTTATAAGAGAAAATATTTTACAAGAATAAAATATGATGTTAACGTAATGATGGCTGAATCGAATATGAACTAATTAAGGCAGTACTGCGCAAAGCTCCATCTGTGAGACATATTATTAACACTATACACTTCTGACGAAGTTTCTCCGAACAGCTGTTTCTTACTTCGAGGCAAAAATTTTAATTAAACGTCATTGTTTAAACACATTTTTAAATTAATTAGCATCTCAATATTAATATAAACGCTTCAAACATTAATATGCAACCTTTAGTGCCTACTCTTATGTTGCGACTACTTTTATAAGCGTACAAAAATTCTAAAAATGCAATGTAGCACCGTTTATATCCGTTTCAAGGAGCCGATGTAAATCGTCGTATAAATGAAAAGTCATATGTTTATGAAACATATTTATTGAAATTTTATCTAAAAACAATACATATGATAACGTAATAGCATTTTTAATTTGACACTTAACATTATTGAATTCGAAAATAATTTAGACGTATAACCTATAATTGATGCCTTTCTCTCCGCAGAAACGTGTCTTTTTTTAATTCTTGCACAGATTGGAATCTTGCAAAGGATGGACTGGAACTGCAAGGAAATGACGCATAAATGAAAAAGACATATGAATAAAAAACATATAAACGGTACTTTGATGTATATAATGAAAGCGGTCATTGCTGATTATAGTATAAGGCTGATGATTTCAGAGCACACTGTTTCTGTTTGTTCTAATAAATTTTCATGTCATTTTTTAGCGACTGGAATCAATAGTGTTGAGGGTATAGCAGAAGTTCGTAACAAATCCATCGCTTGGCTGAGAAATAAGAAATCTCCCTTGAAGGGTTGGCGAGATAACACAGTGATAGCTATAACAGCCTTACATCTGTCGGAAAAGTCTACCTTCAACGGTGGGAATCTAGAAGAAGAATTAATGGCAAAGCAAATAGAACTTGAAACTGCCGTGGCATTGTTGAAGTATTATTTCATTTTTATTATTATTGTTATTATAAAATCCTTTAGAAAATCTTTTTCGTTAATACCCTTAAAAAGCACATTTTATTTTATATCGTTTTTCACAGCAAAGTAAGCATAAGCCACTAAAAATATATTTATTTAAATATTAAGTTTTGCTTAGCAATTTAGGAATCTCCAGGTATCAAGCCATCATCATAAGCCCAGCGTAACCTAATGCATGCAGTCAAATGTTCCTCCAGGACAACCTATCTCTTTATCTGCTTTGCTAATTCCTCACCCCTATCACTCAGACATCTGGTTTAGTAGAATTGAGGTTATGAATTCGGCCTATGATTCAACTAGTGGGGCACTTTGAAATTAAAATCTTTTTGCAGGATATTTTAATTTATTCTAGCAAAATGAATAGCCAAATCCATTTTTCCTTAAATTTAATACTCTTAACAATATCGAATACTTTAAAAATTCTGTTCACTTTAAAAATTCATTTATGTTAGAGGCCTTTCTGTTTAATGTCTCTGAGAATGCTTCTAAAAGCCCATAGAAGGAAATAGAGTACTCTGCTCTTAATGGATAAGAACTGTTGAGTTAATAACCGAGAAAAGACCACTATAGTGAAGATTTTTTTGAACGGTACTGCACAGCACTCACGCTACCAGTAGAAGAAATAAATTAAAATCTTTCATGATTTGTATGACAGTGGGTAACTAGATTGTAACCAATGACTCGTAAGCTACTAGGGGTGCTTTCTGTCATCAGTACCGGGATCTGAGTAAGTCGGATCTAATGCTCGAGACTATCATTCAGGCCATAAAATTTTGGAACGCGTTGCACCACAAATTTTTTAAGATCGTATGAACAGAAACATGGTTAAATAAGTTTGTGACAAATTTGCACCGTAAAATGGTTCGCAATACCAATACTATCCTTCAAAGTTAAACCGGTTTTTTGATAGTGCATTGTTGACATTAGACTCTAACACGCTTGCTACAGAAGCGAGTATTTTAAGTTCTTAACCATGCTGGTTAAAATTTTTTGAGTGTTAGCATTTAAATTTGCCATTACATAATATGTTGTATTAAATTTTAATCCAGAGGTACAGTTTCTAACCAGTTGTTGAGTATGTACATTAACGCTCTTCTGTTGACTTGTCAAGATCCTCGACATTTTTATGGAAAAGATTTGGTCAAACTCCTCAAGGACCAGGTAGAAGAATCCGGGAACTTCACTCACCCGTCTGCTTACTTGGCTCTCTGCAATGCAAAGGAAGAATGGCCACACAGGTGGACATCAGATATTGTTTCCGTATTGAGCAGTGATTCTGAATACAGCTTTATTGGAGGTAAAAATGACTATTTTTTGTTAAAATAATCAATTACAAATCATAATTTTGAGATCAAGTAGATTATTTGAAAAACTGCACAAATCATGTTTCTTGACAAGTAATTAAGCTAATAAAAAAATTTCATCAGAAGCAGCATTTTTCACGACTACTAATGTTCAACTCCGTAACACTATAATTTTGAACTCAATCCAATAGACAAGGGAACTCCTACATCATGTATTTGGAAAAATTTGCCTTCGGTGGATGACTTTTTGATGGAACTAACCCGCATTTGCCTTACATGGAGAGGAAAATCACGAGAACCAGTCATGGTTAGCCTAACGTTTAGGGGACTCTAACCAATGATCCGTCTAATACTGAGGATGCTTCACGTCTACCTTGTAGTCGGTGAGAGCCGGATGCGGAATTCGTATCGACCAGCAATCGTAGGGATTCGAACACGGTTCACCTCAAGGGAAGGCGAACGTTCTACCCCCAGAGCCATTGCCAGTTTACAATTGCTACAATTACTTTACAATAGTTTTACATGAAATTTGTCTAAGTTGTCTAAAGGTATGTCTCAGATGTGAAGTATCAGTATATATCGAGTCAAATTATTTAGTGGCCTCCAGGTATTATATGGGTAAGCATCGAGTTCTGCCTCTTAAACTTTTGGTTGCAACATCCATTTTTAAACCATTGTAATGGTTGAAATAGCTGATATTGAATTTGAAACATAATGTAATAAAAAGGGCATAATTAAGTTTCTCGTAATATTTGTACAACCCTACAAATGCATACTGTTTCATGATTTGAAAAAAATCAATTCATTTAATAATAATAATTAATTTCAAGACAGTTTATTAACTAGTAAATAATATAATTGGTGGAATAAAATAGACTAAAAAAGCTAATTTACTTAATTTTTCAGATTTCCAAGCATTTGCTGTGATGGCTGTTGCATGTTATAATGAAACAAAATTTTTAAATAGAACTGAAAGTGCTGATTTGTTGTCTGTGTATCAAAAGACCATCAAAGATTTCAAAGAACATCAACTTCCAGATGGAAGTTTCGGTAACGTTCACGCAACAAGCCTCATTACTCAAGTAATATACATTTCTGTATATTTATAATCCTTCATTCATTACTTATTAACATTTTCATAGATACAATAAATTTATTTTCATTAAAAAAAAGTTTATGTTATGTAATAAATTTTTACTAAGCAAGAGAGTAAATAATTCAGTTTCGTTTGCTTAACATCATTAAATTGCAAGATTTAACATTGCAAGATTTTTCTTTTTGCGTAACAACAAAACTTGTTACGCAAAAAGAAAACATTTTTTGGAAAATAAATGGCAAAAAACATGAAATCATTTCCAATTGCTGAAGCGTAAGGGACTACAATAGGTCTCAGATCTCATCCCCATATCGGTGACCGATCAGAGCTTCATTTCGAACGAAATGATTGCACCTATCAATGGAGATGCCAGCGTAGACCATCACCCCCCAAAACCAAATCCTTCACTTTCGTATTCAAACGAAGATTGAGTCTAGCGCCACGTTCCCTCCTAATGAAAATACGCCTATTATCAGAATGAACAGAAACGGGACTCGTTAGAGAAAAGAATATTGCGTCATTCATTTCACCTCCAGTTCGCATTCTCTAATGCTCACTCCCTACGGGGTTGACGGTGTCTTGCTGTTAACGTGACACACACCATTAGACGGCGGTCATACAAACCTATAGCGTGAAGATGGAATCGGACAGCTTGTGTCGAAACTGTGGTGAGAGTAGCCGAGTGACGGTGTTGTTGAAGAAGAGTGACATTCATATTTCGATGTCTTCTAGCCGTTAGCGTTAAATAACGATTTTCATTGGGCGTTGCTGCACATCTATGCCCTTGCTCTGATCGTCGACAGGTATTTCCAGTCTCCAAAAAGGGTTCCATATCCTGGAAATCGCACTTTTTGAAACTCCAATGGCTTCTGCTACTTCAGCTTGTGTTTGGCCCCTCTTTAACCTATCAACAACGCTCCAATCTTCTGACTTGATTAAATTACTTTGTTGAGACATTGCACTCATCGAAACAATGCGCTTACTGAATGTCGATCATTCTTTTCAGCTTTGTCTTACATTAAATTGATAGCCAGTTCAAATTCGCTGCCGCTAAAGCGTCGTCTTTGACGTCAAACTCAAAATTTGAATACTGCAAAGTTTGAAAATAAGAAAATTTGTGACACTCTATTTTTCTACTTTATGCACACAAAAAATTTTTCTATACCGTTATTTTTTACAAGACTATATATATATATAATGTCCAGCAGTGTATATATATATATATATGCAAGGAGAGAGAGATATTTGTTTTACTATGCTTGCTTGATGAAACAGTGATAATGTAGGTGTTTTTCAAACTAATGTTGATCTGTTTTAAAAATTAGTTGCTGTTGGATATTACAGCACATAGTCTCATGTTTAGCATCGTATCTAAAAGGTTAAAAGACAAATTGAACTTAACAGAAATTAGAAAAACTGTTTTTAGTATAAATGTAAGGTAACTTTTAATAAAAAGGTTTTATTCAGTCAGGAAAACCAGCAATTCACTACTTGCGAAGTTTTGCATAAACCCGTTTTATTTAATTTGTATCTCTTATTGAAAAATGCTTGTTTTTATCTTCGTTTTTACATGCATTCTGATAGTATACATTTCACGGAATACACTGTATTTTCTAACAATGCGGATGGGTATACATTGTGCTACTTATAAGTTAAGCAAAACAGCATGAATAATTCACAAAAATTGATATTATGCGATAGTTTCGCTTCTATAAAGAGGAGTATTCCTCAAAGTGAGAATACAAAGTTAAACCTTTTTGTCTGTTACATCTTGTAATATCTTGTTATGAATGTTTATATTTTTAGAGTCTTTTAGCGAGTGGCCAGGAACACACTAAAGACTGGAAGCTGAAAGCAACAGTCAAATACTTGATGAAGGAATTGGGGAGCTTGAATGCTGACTTCCTCACTTACTATCTGACCCTCCCGATTTTGAATGGAAAAACTTTAACAGACATTGCAAATTACAATTGTTCACAAACAGCAGTAGATCCAGGAGGTGAGTGTTGTGTTGTGCGATCCGTAAATAAAGACAGGAGATCTTAGACGTCATTTACTTTATTACTTATCAACATTTATTTTAAATTAATATTTAAATAAATATAAAAGGCATACTACAATATGGCATAAATTTAGTACATCTTAAGAACCACAGCACAATTTTTCTTAGTCATAAAAAGCATAAAACAGTCTCACGTTCATCACTAAAACGTGTCCCTTTGCTCAAATAGTGTTTATGCACTCCTCAAATTCTTAGTTATAAACTTCAAACTGGGCACGAACTTAGAGTTTAATTTAACAAGCAATTGTATCAAAGAATTTTTTTTATAGACCTATTAGTGGGCCCACAATGACCCAAAATATATTTTGTTGACTAACTGGGAAGAGGTGTTTTAAGCTAAATATTCGTGAGGCTGGCATGTGAAGCGTGGTAAAGTTGGAAGCGCTTTGGGGAAATTAGATTTGTTGTCCCGGAGACCCTGGGTTCGAAACCTTGCGAGTGTTGATTTTCAATTTATTTTATATTAATTGTTTTATGTATTTTTCGCTATTTTAACGTGAATAAAAAGTTCTGTATATAAAAATAACTAATTTTTCTTTGGGAGATAGCGAATAATAGCTAATAAACGGATAAATTTCGGATAATTTTTATTTATTTACTTATTCTATTCTGTATTATTTTTTTAACTCCTTTTTCAATATTTTAAAATGAATAAAGTGTTCTATATATAAAAAGAATTATTTTTCTTTGCTAAAGAGCAAATAATATCTGAAAAAGGGACAAAAATTGTATCAGGAGGCACGCGCACATCTCACCCCGTAACTCTCTGTATTATTAACCTATAAACTTCAAACTGGGCACGAACTTAGTGTTTAATTTAACAAACAATTGTATCAAAGAAATTTTTTTAGACCTATTAGTGGGCCCACAATGACCCAAAATATATTTTGTTGACTAACTGGGAGAAGGTGTTTTAAGCTAAATATTCGTGAGGCTGGCGTGAGAAGCGGGGCAAAGCTGGAAGCGCTTTGGGGAAATTAGATTTGTTGTCCCGGAGACCCTGGGTTCGAAACCTTGCGAGTGTTGATTTTAAATTTATTTTATATTATTTGTTTTATGTATATTTCGCTATTTTAACGCGAATAAAAAGTTCTGTATATAAAAATAACTAATTTTTCTTTGGGAGATAGCGAATAATAGCTAATAAACGGATAAATTTCGGATAATTTTTATTTATTTACTTATTCTATTCTGTATAATTTTTTTAACTCCTTTTTAAATATTTTAAAATGAATAAAGTGTTATATATATAAAAAGAATTATTTTTCTTTGCTAAAGAGCAAATAATATCTGAAAAAAGGACACAAATTGTATCAGGAGGCACGCACACATCTCACCCCGTAACTCTCTGTATTATTAACCTATAAACTTCAAACAGGGCACGAACTTAGAGTTTAATTTAACAAATAATTGTAACAAAGAAATGTTTTTATGGACCTATTAGTGGGCCCACAATGACCCAAAATATATTTTGTTGACTAACCGGGAGGAGGTGTTTTAAGCTAAATATTCGTGAGTCTGGCAGTTGAAGCGTGGCGAAGTTGGTAGCGCTTTGCAGGGGAAGTTAGATTTGTTGTCCTGGAGACGCTGGGTTCGATACCCTGCGAGGGTCGACTTACAATTTTTTTTTTATTTATTTCATATCATTTTTTTTATATATTTTTCGATATTTTAGCGTGGATATAAAGTTCTGTATATAAAAATAACTATTTTTTCTTTGGGAGATAGCGAATAATAGCTAATAAACGGATAAATTTCGGATAATTTTTATTTATTTATTTATTCTATTCTTTATTTATTTATTCTATTCTTTATTATTTTTTTAACTTCTTTTTCAATATTTTATAATGAATAAAGTGTTCTATATATGAAAAGAATTATTGTTCCTTGCTAAAGAGCAAATAATGGCTGAAAAAGGGACAAAAATTGTATCAGGAGGCACGCACACATCACACCCCGTAACTCTCTGTATTATTAACCTATAAACGTCTAACTGGGCACGAACTTAGAATTTAATTTAACAAACAATTGTATCAAAGAAATTTTTTTATAGACCTATTAGTGGGCCCACAATGACCCAAAAGATATTTTGTTGACTAATCGGGAGGAGGTGTTTTAAGCTAAATATTCGTGAGGATGGCGTGTGAAGCGTTGCGAAGTTGGTAGCGCTTTGGGGAAATTAGATTTGTTGTCCCGGAGACCCTGGGTTCAAAACCTTAAGAGTGTTGATTTTTAATTTTTTTTCTATTTTATTTATATTATTTTTTTTTATGTATTTTTCGATATTTTAACGTGGATAAAAAGTTCTGTATTTAAATATAACTATTTTTTCTTTGGGAAATAGCGAATAATAGCTAATAAACGGATAAATTTCGGATAAATTTTAGTTATTTATTTATTTTAATTTATATTATTTTTTTAACTTCTTTTCATTATTTTAAAGCGAATAAAGTCTTCTATATGTGAAAA